TAACTGCCATGGCTCCATCCTGCAGAATTCTGGGATTTGTAGTTTTGTGAGGCATCAGCACTCTTTGGCTGACAAATCTAAGGACCTTGTGAAACTGCAAAGCCCAAGATTCCATTGGATGGACCTACAGCACATAACGGGGTGTCAAACTGCATTGTTTCTATAGTGTAGATGTACCCAAAGTTAAGCATCCTTGACTAAGTAGATGATACAGGATTCCAGCCACTATATTTTACACAAAGTATGTTGGCTCATGTGCAAAAATTTACTTAGACAGGGAACACAAGTTTGTTGGGAAGGGAGCATATTTTCTGCTAAAAACAGGACATGTTTTCTCTCAAATATTTTTTTTTTAATATCTCTGTGCATGAAGAATATTCCAGCTATTCTCCATCTTTTTGAATGAGTACCTTAGTGTGTCGAGATACCACTTTTCTTTTCTTTTCTTTTCTTTTCTTTTCTTTTCTTTTCTATCAATTATGAAAACATTTATGAACATTCTTTTCACCCTGATTTCACAGTAAAGACTCAAAATCCTGGCCCAGCTCTATTTCTGACAGTCTTCCTTTATGGGAGAGGGCAATAGCTTACTAGTAGAGCACATGCTTATATGCCAAAGATCCCAGATCAGGCTGATAGAAAGGCCTTTGGCTGAAGCCCTGGAGAGCAAGTACCCAATTATATTGACTGTTCTGTTGTAGACAGACCAAGAGTATGACTCCAGATGTGGCAGCTTCTTATATAATCCCAATCCAATTTCCAAGAAGTCAAAGACCTATAAGTGAATAACTACCCCCCCCCACACACAGGAGATTGCCACACAAGGCACTAGTGATGTAATTGAAATGGAATTACAATTTATGAGTCCTCTTTTTTTTCACACAATGTCATCACTCATTTGTTGCTGATCCTTCATTATGCCATTATTGTTGCACAATTTTGCATCAATGAGAGATATCTGTCAGTGCAAAATTGTGCAATTATAATGGCATAACAACAGATCAGCAGTGGATGAATGAGGATGTCATGCGAAAAGGAGAGGAATATAGATTGCAATTCCACTTCAGTTCCATCATTAGTGCTACGTGTGTTAGTCTCCACACACAACAGGCCTTCATCTTCCACTGACGTCCCTTCCAGTCTAACCAGAAACTTGATTTAGTTCTTTTTCCTCCCAGCATTGCTTTCTGAAGCACCACTCTCCCCTTCTCTTTCTCTCTTCTGTGCAATATTGCATTCCTTCAGTAGCCTTCAGACTCTAACTCAACAAACCTGCTGTCTCACGTCCCAGCAACACCCATCTAATTACCCCCTTAATTCTCTGTGCACTCAAGGTGAGATTTTACGGCTCAAAAGCACTTGGAACTGGCCCGGAGCTTACAGGATGGGAAGGCACCTGTAGAAGAAAGAGAGAAAGAGAGAGCTTCTTGAAACGGTACAATGCCAATCTCTCTCTCTCTCTCTCTCTCTCTCTCTCTCTCTCTCATTCTTCCCCCCCATTTTTTTTTTTTTTAAGAGAGGCAGCTGTGTCTTTTTTCAGACAGGACTTTTAAATGGTTGCCAGGGAAACTGAGCAATGGAGAGTGGAAAGGTTAGATGGATATTGGATGAGACTAAGGCACTTGTTTCAAACAAGAATTGACAGACGCTTAGGATGCTGGAGGTCCAGAGGAGTTCTTATTCCTTCCCAGTTCCTCAAATACCTACAAAGTGCAGCTAATTGCCTTTTAATCACTTATCAATTATAATTTATCTCCATCAGAGGGGTTGTAAATGCTTGAGTTTATGGCATGAGCCCTTTTACTTCCAGCACTTTGGGGTCATTTGGGGAGGAACATCCGATCGTTGATGCCCTCTGGGATGGAAAGGCTGAGCGGAAAGGGGGTCATTAGACTTGCTAAAAGAAAGATGGGCTCCAGGAAATTTCACTGCTGGGATTTACCAGCTTCAATATGTTCTGACAGCTTTTGCTGTGGCAAGTGGAAGGTGCTACTGATAAAATCCTCAGAGGGTTTGTGTGATTTGTTGGCGATGGAGGCCTGTCTGCCTTCTTTGAAGGACAAGCAGGGAGGCAGTCTAAAGGAGGGTGGCCAGTTGTGGTCTCTACAGATGGGTTCTCATCTTCCCTTGTTACCAATTGACATCCCCCCTCCCATCTCTCACTCTAACAATGGTCAGAGCTGGTTCCTGGTTTTGGTGGTAGGATCAGGCAAAATATCCTGCGCATAGTTTGCTTTTCCTCTCTGCAGTTACCTACCTTTTGTTACTCATGCTGCAGTCTTTACCATCAGGAAAGAAAACATATCCATTGGTAGCTGTGTCAACTGTATAGCAAAGCACAAAAACATCACAAATTTGCAACACAGTGATACCTTTATTAAGCCAGCCAAAATGCACAAAATATATGTTTTCATTTTCATCAGGCAAGTGCTGAAAATCATACAAAAGAAAGAAAAAAATATGATAATGTTAGAGTCACCAGTCTACATTTTGTCAAGATGTTGTAATGGTTGTTGTCAGTTAAGATGGTATGGAGGGATATTCATGTAGGCAGGTCACACCTCCTGGCCATGAGGGTTCTGGGAGATTAAAAGTCCAGGAAATAAAATTTAAACTCCATTAACAACACAAAAATATACTTCCTTTGAGATCCAGGTTGCCTCTGTCCTTTACGAAGTTACCAGCCCCCTTTGTTAGGCAGAGAACACTGAATTTTTCAAGAATCCTCCATGATGTTACCTTAGGGTAAAATAATAGATGCAGCTTAGGGGGTGGTTTATGGAGCTTGATCCTTGAGCAAGCAGTAGGACAAAATGAATCCACTCTGATTATCCTGAACTTTAATGAAGCTACCCAAGGTATTTAACCCATTTTGAGGTTAGCCTCCAGTGCTTTGGATAGCTTCCTTGAAGTTTACCTGAAGCCTGGAGTGGATTCAACTTATACCAGAGTCACTAAGCACTCCAAGTTGTGGCATTCTGTGTTTCTTCTGTTATTTCCTGCTGTTTGCTGGGACTCTCCCTTTGAGCCAGAGGAACAGAGCAGATACACAAATATCTAGGTTTGGCTCAGAATATAAGACTTGTCTGAGAGACAACTAATTAACATATCAATGTGAGTAAAGAAGGGTCAAACTCAATGCTCTCTACTGGATGATGGGTGTCCTTGTGTTTAGACTTAACAATATTATCTACCATCATATTGCTTTTTCCTGGCTCAACCAAGCAGAGAGAATGGGGGGAAATGGATTGAGGTAGGCTCTTAATGCCTATGTTAGAGCTGACATATTTAGGAAATACATGTGACACCATCCTTTTTTCAAGAGAAGGGACTTGGAGATTCTAAACCAGTGGCACTACAAAGAAAAATCATGTATACATTTATGTTAATTGCCCCTGAGTTGTCCCTGACTC